TTTCTTAACAAAGCTTTAGGTTGCCCATATAATAATTATCGAAATTTACTACGATAGCGGAATATTTTCTAGCAGCAAATCTTTTTTTCTTTGTGTTCATCTTCTGAAAAAAGTAATTGATATCGATCCTCCCCTTCAATTTGAGTTTTCTTATATAATATATCTGTTGAGCCTTCCTAATGGAACATTCAGTCTCAATGGACATCCAAGGACGAATCGAAATTTTTGCGAGTGCAGCATCGCCAGAGCAAAAGGTGCAATTCGATGAATATGGTTACCAGACAGTACTTATCCGATTCTCATATTTTTCGGCACTCGATCGGCCAAACGGTCGGATATTAGATATCCGGTTATCGGCTGGTAGTCATTTCCGGTCTATACTCAGTTAGCATTTTCCTATTGGCTATTCCGCGAGGTACCTCACCGTGTATTAGCTTTGTCGAGAAATGCTCGGGAATAGATGATGCTCCTGATTTGTTGCTATTCCGATGTATCGAAAAAGTTATCCATTCATGGCTACAAAAACATGAGACATCCACTATCGATTTAGAACGGGTTTTAATAACATTAAAATACAATAAATAATGAAGCGAGCCAATTTTTAGTTTATTAATAATAATAATAATAATAATAATAATAATAATAATAACTTTATTGAGTGCAACTGTTATTAACATTGAATGTAAAATAAACAGATAAAAATACATAATATTTGATATCGAGTATCAGGCAGAGCGATCAGCTAAATAATTGATTTGAAGCCATACTTGAATATCAAAATAAATAAGTTTTAGATTTTAACTGAACAAGCAAATTCAAAACAATTAATATTATGAATACATAAAATACAAGCAGACTATCTTTGAAGTTCTTGAGAATGAAAGTTGGTTATAAAAATACAGAAATATATGATATAAAACATATTTATTATGCAATTATATATCTGTGCGTTTTATGTAGATATGTATCTTAAATCCTCGAAACGATTACTATATTAATAGGGAGTTTTTGCAATACTATTTACCCAAATAGGGTGAACGCCAAGATCAGGTTATCTTCTTTTTAACAACTAATAAAGGAAAGGATAATAATATGTGACTTTAGCGTATCTGAATTTCACCGTATCTGGATTTATGTTATTACAAAAACTCCTTATTAACTCTCCAATAATACTCATGGCTTCATCTATTTTACAGCTTGCATACATTGTTTAACAGAAAGGAAGATGTTTCTTATTACATTATTTCACTTCTATTACACATTTTGTACATTGATTAAATAAATTAATATAAAGCAACGAGTCGGATCCAATCTTTTCCTGAATATCTGATTTTCATCTTGCCATTGCTTGGAGGGTTGGGATAATGTACCAATTGTCGTAATCTTAATTTAAGATTTAACTCATAATCTTAATTTAAGAAATTAAGTCTATTCTTTAAGAAAAACCTGTACCTTAAGTAGATTTTAAAACTTCTTTTATATAATTTCTTTTTATTTCTTACGAGAAATTAAATCATGCAGACTTATCTTTTTTCGATTCGTCACTAGTAATGCCGTCGAACACAATCGAGAATGTTCCATCGACGTGACATCGAGACTACGAGAAAGTCCAATAATCTGAACGGCAAAAAAAGAAGGCAATAGCGCATACTCTCGAATATTCCGTCGGCGTGGCTGTGGGACTCGAGATTTATCGTCGTTATTAAAACAAGCGCGGTGATACACGAGCGATCTCTGGTCGGGCGAACGTAGACATTATTCAAAGGGAACAAAAGAAGTCTAGATTAATCGGTAATTAAATCGACGGCGGAATACCGCGGGTATACTGATACGCGCGCTCCCGCGACTTGCTTCTCCCGATTTTATCGGCCTGATTCGTGGGTTGATGCATTTGATGTATTTGATCATCGATTGTGTGTATTGCACGGTTTTAATGGAGCGTCTCGTTTTAATAATAAAAATAATCCGATACTTTATAGCGTCATTATAAATCCTTGCGTAACATAGATATCTGCGATCACGGAAAAGTAATCTGTTTGGAACTTGCCAAAGAGAGATAGAAAAATCAAACTCGTTAACCCGGGAATAGTAGAATTTTTATATACTAGCAATAAAATGTAAAGCTCAATCTTTTGTAACAATTTTTTTTACCGATAAAAAATTTATACACATTTTTTTATTTCTTCTTATTTTTTTAAAAAACATTAATAAATTTATATATTATCTAGATAAATCTAGATTGAAAAACATAAGTAAATCTATATTAAAAATATCAAGTAAATCTGAAATATTAATAAATTGTCAAACAATCAATAATATATTTATATACGATATTATTGATTGTTATATAATAATGAATTGAGATGTAGAAAACATTTCTAGTGATCGTTTATATAAAAAAAGGTGGATATTTCTGGATTATATATCGGATATATATCGTCGAGTATAATAAACACAAAAAATATCTTATTATTTTAATTCAATAACTTGAATTAATGTTCTATTTCTTCAAATTGCTTTCATTCCTAAAGAAGCACGTTTTCATC